GATCCTAAGGCCACCAAAACAGATCCCCTCAACACCTTGGCTGCGCCTAGAAATTCTGTCCATGAAAGTAATGAACAGAATCACCGATTCTGGGCATCGAACTGGGCAGCCTTGGCGGAGTCCAACTCTCAACGGAAACGAGCCCAACTTACTGCCGGCAATGCGGACCAGACTCTGACACCAGTCATACAGGGACCTGACAGCCCGTATTAAAGGGCCCGGTACCCCCGCAAGGCCCCCCGAGGGACACGGTTGAACACCTTCTCCAAGTCCACAAAACACATGTAGACCGGTTGGGCGAACTCCCATGCCCCCTCCAGGACCCTGCTGAGGGTGTCCAGTGTTCCACAACCAGGAGGAAAACCACACTGCTCTTCCTGAATCCAAGGTTCAACTATCTGACGGACCCTCCTCTCCAGGACCCCTGAATAGACCTTACCAGGGAGGCTTAAGAGTGTGACCCCCCTGTAATTGGAGCACACCCTCCGGTCCCCCTTTTTAAACAGGGGGACCACCACCCCGGTCTGCCAATCCAGAGGAACTGCCCCCGATGTCCATGCGATATTGCAGAGTCGTGTGAGCCAACACAACCCTACAACATCCAGAGCCTTAAGGAACTCCGGGCGGATCTCATCCACCCGCGAGGCCCTGCCACCGAGGAGCTTTTTGACCACCTCGGCGACCTCGTCCCCAGAGATTGGAGAGCCCGACCCAGAGTCCCCAGGCTCAGCTTCCTCAACAGAAGGCATGTTGGTGGGATTGAGGAGGTCTTCGAAGTATTCCGCCCACCGACCCACAACGTCCCGAGGTCAGACCATCCCCACTATAAACAGTGTTGGTGCTGCACTGCTTACCCCCCCTGAGATGCCGGATGGTGGACCAGAATCGCCTCGAAGCCGTACGGAAGTCTTTCTCCATGGCATCTCCAAACTCCTCCCATGCCCGAGTTTTTGCTTCAGCAACCACCCGAGCCGCATGCCGCTTCGACCGCCGGTACCTATCAGCTGCTTCTGGAGTCCCACAGGCCAAAAAGGTCCGATAGGACTCCTTCTTCAGCTTGACAGCATCCCTCACCGAAGGTGTCCACCAACGGGTTCGAGGGTTGCCGCCGCGACAGGCACCAGCAACCTTGCTGACGCAGCTCCGATAAGCCGCCTCGGCAATGGAGGCACGGAACATGGTCCATTCAGACTCAATGTCCCCCACCTCCCCC